TTCGCTGATAATCTTTTTAATTTCTTCAGTATCAGTTGTGACTTCGACTTCTGTGTTTCTAAGTATGTTTATCTGGACTTTCTCTTTTTTAGTAAACCTGGCTAAGGATGCATTGATCTTATTTATCATCTCAAAGAACCAGCTTTATGTCTTGAGATTTTTTTCTATGATTTTTCTTTCTTTTATGTCCTACAGATGTAACTTTATCTTGGTGATCTGTTCTCTTCTGGTGAAGTAAGAATTTGATGATTTTCCTTTCCAACTTCCTTAGGTGTGAAGTTAAGTTGTTAACTTGTGATCTTTCTGTTTTTTGATGTGTATGTGCCATGCTATGAATTTTCTTTTTAATACTTCTTTCATGGCATCCCAGATATTCTGATAGGTTGTATCCTTGTTTTCATTTGTTCCCAGGAATCTTTTTATTTCTGTCTTGATTTCTTTGTTGACTGAAAAGTCATTTCGTATTGTGTTGTTTAGTGTGATTGTCTTTGTGTGTTTTGAGGGCATCATGTTGGTTGTGATAGTTGTTTTTTTCCCACTGTGATCTAAAAAGATGCATGGTATTATTTAGATCTTTTGGAATTCGTTTATGCTTGATTTATGTGCAAGACTGTGATCAATCTTGGAGTATGTTTCATGTGCTGATGAGTGGAATGCATACACTGTAGTTGCTGAATGAAAAGTCTGCAGATGTCTAGTAAGTTTATTTGGCTGACTATCAAGTTGAGGTTCTGGGTCTCCTTATTGATTTTTTGCCTCAATTATTTATTTAGAGCTGTTAGTGAGATGTTTAAGTCTCCAGTTATAATTGTGTGAGGGTCAATGTCCTCTCTTAGTTCACTTAGTAGTTGATTATAAAACCTGTTATTCCTATATTGGGTGCATATATGTTTAGAATGGATATTTCTTGCAGGTGGATTGAGCCTTTTATTATTATGTAGTGTCCTTCTGTATTCTTTTTAACTTTTAATGGCTTGAAGGTTATATTGTCTGCTATTAGAATAACTACTTCTTTCTTCTGTTTTTTGTTTGCTTGAAACTACATTTTCCAGCCTCCACTTTGAGTCTGAGATGAGTTTCCTTGAGGCAACAGATTTTTAGATTGTGCTTCTGTGCTTTCAGTTGTGCATTTCGTCCATTCACTTCCAGGCTGATAAACAAAATGTGAGAGTTTATGCTTGCCACAGGACTCTTAGAAGGCTGCTTTGTTTTAGCTTTTGCATTTCTCTATATGTGTGTGTGTGTGTGTGTGTGTGTGTGTGTGTGTGTGTGTGTGTGTGTGTGTGTGTATTATCAAATTTCAAGTTTTACACCTTAAATATATCCAACAAGAAAACTTTGGAATTAAGGAAAAGGGAGTCAGGAAATAATTTGTCATTAAAAACAGTGCTGAAATGTAGGTTAGGAATAGTGATAGGCTTTCAGATTCTGTGAGTAGGTTCCAGCTAATTAGCAGCTGCAGCTTCCTTTCTCGTATACCACCTTTCTGACAAGGAGAGACATGCTCAAATTTGAAGGAAGACCTATATGAAGTAATCTATTTATGCAAATGAGATGTCTCCAGGATCAGAGGAAACAGATATGAGAGCTAATGTCCAGGACAGATGCATCATGATTACTGGATTTTAGTTGCCGCCAGCAAGGACCACAGTTCTTTGCTGGTAAAACTGAGAGAGACTATTACTATCCATCTGCCAATAAAAGCTGTTATCACTCCTGTCTCTGTTGAGGATAAAGATTATAATAAAAGGTCCTACTGTGCTCCCATATTCATTGCAGCATTATTCACAATAGCCAAGACTTGACCTCGATGTAAGTGTCCATCAATCGTTAATAGATACAGAAAATGTGGTAAATATAGACAATGGAATACTATTCAGACTTTAAAAAGAGTAAAATCGGTCATTTGCAAGAACATGGAAGCACCTGGAGGACACAATCTTAAGTGAAATAAATCAGGCGTAGAAACACAAATACCACGTGGTCTCACTCACGTGGGAGCTAACAAAGTTGAACTCACAGAAGTAGCGAGTCGAGTGGTGGTTAATAGGGGCTTGGGGCTGGTGGGCTGGACAGATGTGATGAAAAGATACAAAATTTCAGTCAGGAAGAACAAGTTGAAGAGTTATACTGTACAACGTGGTGACTCTACAGTAAATAACAACATATTGCTTTTGAAAATTGCTAAGAGAGTAAATTTTAAGTGTTCTCGCCATTAAAAATGGTGTGTGAGGTAATTAGCTTGATTTAGCCTTTTCCCAATGCACTCATATTTCAAAACATCGTGTTATTCACAATAACTATAGGTAACTTTTATCTGTCAATTAAAAGAAAACTACAAATTTAAAACAAGGCAAACAGCAAAACATTAGTAATAATAATGAAAGGTCTTTACAGACCTTGCTTTGGACTGCATGAGTATTGTTTGCTTGGCTAGCTTCATCAAAAATTTTTTTTTTAGTGTATGTGTTCAACAATCTGTGAGGATTCTATCTACCTTATGCAAAAGCGTGGCAAAGTATCATCATATACTAGCAAATGAAAACTTACTTGTTTCTTGATCATCTGGAGGAATAATATGATCTTCATAAACTTGATAAAAGGTTGTGATCCTGGTACCATCAGCGTGATCCACTATCCTCGTACCATCTTTCCTTTCGACAACAACTACTTTGTCTTCTCGTGTTGTCATAACCTGAACATGTAAAGGCAGAGCACAATCACTTGTCCAGGTGGTTAATCCCAAGTGCATACTTTTTATATCCATCGAATACAAAGATGGTACCATCAGAGTCCTGGCTATTTACTGATAAGCAAATGTTTTATCTTATCTACCTGTCTAACCTTTATAACTATCCTGGGAGGCAAGTAACAACCATTTTATAGATGATGGCATTCAGACTTAGAAAAATGCTGCGTACGTGGGTCGCTGCTGGGCCTCCAGGTTGGATGAGGCTGCAGCACCAATCATGCTGGGTTTCCCGTCTTGTCTCTCTCCCTAAAGCCGAGCAAATGCAGATGTAGATGGATGTAAGTCTATTGTGTTCCATTACTTTGAGGGTTAATTTTAACACATAATCTCTTCTGTTCAGGTGAAGAGTATTACTGTTAAAAATGGATTGGTTGAGAGGAATAATATGATCTACATAACCCAAGCCAGGGAAACAAAGAGAAGTTACGTTGTCAACCTGGCATGCTCCAGCTCCAGGTCACTCAACAAGTAAACACCAGGCGTATTTATGAATAAAATGCCAACATCTGGACTGGATTAACCCAGGTCTGTCTGGGAAAATGACCACAGGCCCTGTTTCCTTGGAAACTATGGAGTAACGAAAAATGTGGCATGTTGTGGCTGCCTTGTGTGCTGTGAAACCCCCGCTCTATAGGACTGCCCTGGGCAGGGTGAACTGCCCAGATGGCCTGCAGGTGTCGGTCTAATGTCATCAGATCAGCACTTGAAGGTTGGTGGAGGACAGAGGCCGCAGCTTCTCTGTGTCAAGCCGATCTACACACGTGTATGCCCTTGTCCGTCATGTGTGCCTGTGTGAGCTCCAGGGGCACAAAAGACGGTGTGCCTGGGTTGCCGCTGGGCCTCCTGGTTGGGTGAGGCTGCTGCACCAATCATGCTGGCTTTCCCGTCTGGGGTCTCTCTCTAAAGCTGAACAAATGTAGCTATAGATGTAGGTCCGTGGTGTTCTGTTGGCTTGAGTGTCACTTTCTTTGTTGTTGTTGTTTTTGTTTTTTTGAGTGGGAGTCTCACTCCGTCGCCCAGACTGGAGTGCTCGGCCCGCTGGGCTCCGGCCATCCCTCCGCCCCCGCCTTCCGAGGAGCCGGAATTACGGGCAGGCGCTACCGCGCCCGGCTGAGCTCTTGACTCACTGCAGAGACGAGGGCTGGCCAGGCTGCGGGCGGGCCTCGAACCCGC